ACAACCCTTACACTCACGACCATCCCATCCACATCCACACAACCCTTACACTCACACCCACCCCATCCACACAACCCTTACACTCACACCCACCCCATCCACATCCACACAACCCTTACACTCACACCCACCCCATCCACACAACCCTTACACTCACACCCATCCCATCCACATCCACACAACCCTTACACTCACGACCACCCCATCCACATCCACACAACCCTTACACTCACGCCCACCCCATCCACACAACCCTTACACTCACGACCATCCCATCCACATCCACACAACCCTTACACTCACGACCATCCCATCCACATCCACACAACCCTTACACTCACGCCCACCCCATCCACATCCACACAACCCTTACACTCACGCCCACCCCATCCACATCCACACAACCCTTACACTCACGACTACCCCATCCACATCCACACAACCCTTACACTCACACCCATCCCATCCACATCCACACAACCCTTACACTCACGACCATCCCATCCACATCCACACAACCCTTACACTCACGACCATCCCATCCACATCCACACAACCCTTACACTCACGACTACCCCATCCACATCCACACAACCCTTACACTCACGCCCACCCCATCCACACAACCCTTACACTCACGACCATCCCATCCACACAACCCTTACACCCACACCCACCCCATCCACACAACCCTTACACTCACACCCATCCCATCCACATCCACACAACCCTTACACTCACACCCACCCCATCCACATCCACACAACCCTTACACTCACACCCACCCCATCCACACAACCCTTACACTCACGCCCACCCCATCCACACAACCCTTACACTCACGACCATCCCATCCACACAACCCTTACACTCACGCCCACCCCATCCACATCCACACAACCCTTACACTCACGACCATCCCATCCACACAACCCTTACACTCACACCCATCCCATCCACATCCACACAACCCTTACACTCACGCCCATCCCATCCACACAACCTTTACACTCACGCCCACCCCATCCACACAACCCTTACACTCACACCCATCCCATCCACATCCACACAACCCTTACACTCACGACCATCCCATCCACATCCACACAACCCTTACACTCACGACCATCCCATCCACATCCACACAACCCTTACACTCACGACCATCCCATCCACATCCACACAACCCTTACACTCACGCCCACCCCATCCACACAACCCTTACACTCACGACCATCCCATCCACACAACCCTTACACTCACGCCCACCCCATCCACATCCACACAACCCTTACACTCACGACCATCCCATCCACACAACCCTTACACTCACACCCATCCCATCCACATCCACACAACCCTTACACTCACGCCCATCCCATCCACATCCACACAACCCTTACACTCACGACCATCCCATCCACACAACCCTTACACTCACACCCATCCCATCCACATCCACACAACCCTTACACTCACGACCATCCCATCCACATCCACACAACCCTTACACTCACGCCCACCCCATCCACATCCACACAACCCTTACACTCACGCCCACCCCATCCACATCCACACAACCCTTACACTCACGCCCACCCCATCCACACAACCCTTACACTCACGACCATCCCATCCACATCCACACAACCCTTACACTCACGACCATCCCATCCACATCCACACAACCCTTACACTCACGACTACCCCATCCACATCCACACAACCCTTACACTCACACCCATCCCATCCACACAACCCTTACACTCACGACCATCCCATCCACATCCACACAACCCTTACACTCACGACCATCCCATCCACATCCACACAACCCTTACACTCACGACCATCCCATCCACATCCACACAACCCTTACACTCACGCCCACCCCATCCACATCCACACAACCCTTACACTCACGCCCACCCCATCCACATCCACACAACCCTTACACTCACGCCCACCCCATCCACACAACCCTTACACTCACGACCATCCCATCCACATCCACACAACCCTTACACTCACGACCATCCCATCCACATCCACACAACCCTTACACTCACGACCATCCCATCCACATCCACACAACCCTTACACTCACGACCATCCCATCCACATCCACACAACCCTTACACTCACGCCCACCCCATCCACACAACCCTTACACTCACGACCATCCCATCCACACAACCCTTACACCCACACCCACCCCATCCACACAACCCTTACACTCACACCCATCCCATCCACATCCACACAACCCTTACACTCACGCCCATCCCATCCACATCCACACAACCCTTACACTCACGCCCACCCCATCCACATCCACACAACCCTTACACTCACGCCCACCCCATCCACACAACCCTTACACTCACGCCCACCCCATCCACATCCACACAACCCTTACACTCACGCCCACCCCATCCACATCCACACAACCCTTACACTCACGCCCACCCCATCCACACAACCCTTACACTCACGCCCATCCCATCCACATCCACACAACCCTTACACTCACGCCCACCCCATCCACATCCACACAACCCTTACACTCACGCCCACCCCATCCACACAACCCTTACACTCACACCCACCCCATCCACATCCACACAACCCTTACACTCACGCCCACCCCATCCACATCCACACAACCCTTACACTCACGCCCACCCCATCCACACAACCCTTACACTCACGCCCACCCCATCCACATCCACACAACCCTTACACTCACGCCCACCCCATCCACACAACCCTTACACTCACACCCATCCCATCCACATCCACACAACCCTTACACTCACGCCCACCCCATCCACACAACCCTTACACTCACGACCATCCCATCCACATCCACACAACCCTTACACTCACGCCCACCCCATCCACATCCACACAACCCTTACACTCACGCCCACCCCATCCACACAACCCTTACACTCACGCCCACCCCATCCACATCCACACAACCCTTACACTCACGCCCACCCCATCCACATCCACACAACCCTTACACTCACGCCCACCCCATCCACACAACCCTTACACTCACGCCCACCCCATCCACACAACCCTTACACTCACGCCCACCCCATCCACACAACCCTTACACTCACGACTACCCCATCCACACAACCCTTACACTCAAACCCATCCCATCCACATCCACACAACCCTTACACTCAAACCCATCCCATCCACATCCACACAACCCTTACACTCATACCCACCCCATCCACATCCACACAACCCTTACACTCACGCCCACCCCATCCACACAACCCTTACACTCACGACCACCCCATCCACACAACCCTTACACTCACACCCATCCCATCCACATCCACACAACCCTTACACTCACGCCCATCCCCTCCACACAACCTTTACACTCACGCCCACCCCATCCACACAACCCTTACACTCACCACCACCCCATCCACACAACCCTTACACTCACACCCATCCCATCCACATCCACACAACCCTTACACTCACACCCACCCCATCCACATCCACACAACCCTTACACTCACGACCACCCCATCCACATACACACAACCCTTACACTGACACCCACCCCATCCACATCCACTCAACCCTTACACTCACGCCCACCCCATCCACATCCACACAACCCTTACACTCACACTCACGCCATCCAATCACACATAAGCCACTCATTACACCATATCCACACGGAAACTGCCTCTACATCTTCCGAAACGACTCAACCACACCCAACCTGCACATGCGCCAGCGTTATGTCTTCATTTCATAATTTACCGTCAATGCATACATATTGACGCATGCATCCAAATACATGTCGGTATTCAGATAACAATTTTGCCTCCACATACAGTTACTTAAGCCAAATATCCACTGACTTCTCCAACTCCTCCACATAATCCCTAACCACCATCCACATCCCCATCTTAATTACACCAACATTTCACCCTAAACAACACCATCGCCATCTCGTAAGAGTGAGTGAATAAGTGAATGAGTGGGTATCGGTTTACGCTAGACTTGCTCAAGTCGAAAAGGCAATAATTCTTAGTTTACATCATAACTTCTAGATTATATAAATAAAAAGAACAATAAGTTCTCCCCATAGACTGGCGTCCTTAGATGTACTGTCGGCTTATCTAGACTTGCGACACATCCATGGACCCTTTCAGTACAGTCTTAGAGCAAGGCTAGGTTTACGCTATTTTTGCTATTATCCTTGTCATTATCATGGCGGGGATGAATAAACCATTCGACAACCCAGCCGCTTATATTTCTTTATAATTGATTAACATTGGTAAGGTGTAAGTTTACTTTATAAAAAATAGGTTTTTAAGGTTTATATTACTACATGTATTTCTTAACAGCGAACATGCGATTTTGGATACAAAGGAGGTGATGTGAAATGGGGATTCATGTCGCGTTGAAAACTATTACATTTATATTGCGACGTACATGTGTTTGTGTGGTTGCGTGCCAGCGTGCGTGTGTGTGTGTGTGTGTGTGTGTGTGTGTGTGTGTGTGTGTGTGTGTGTGTGTGTGTGTGTGTGTGTGTGTGTGTTGTGTTTTTACAAATGCTGGGTTTATAGTGATAGCCAGCTGAAATACAATGCCGTAGTTTAACATGAATACCCCACTCAGACACAGCATGCTGACTCCGAGCAGTCTTTGTTTCATCCCGTTAATGCCGAGCGCCAGACAGGGTAACTACAACTACCACCATTCATGACGTTAACCGCTCTCCGGGCAGACGTCCTATCCACAATGACTACACCACGGTGGCGGTTTCGAAACAAATATCCGTAAACTAATGGTAAGTGATTAAAAACTTTGAGCGGCTCCATATATATGACGTACGTGAATAACACGCACTGTTCATACGTAGCACATACCAAGCACAAACTATTGAACAGTTACAAATATGAAGAGACACATTCTTTCAACAGATGATATTCAGGGACAACACAACAGAAAACGAATTTGCATTGTTTATTGAATTATTAAAAAGGGAAAAAAATTAACAGCAAAACGCACAAAAGCACGTTTCGCGAACGCCGTCAATGGGATGTCAGTTGACCTAAAATATCATGATGAGGACTGATTGCTCTATAACCTTTCAGAGACTTGAGGACAAGTCTGATTACACTCCCGACAGATGTGTTGCTCATCAGATTACAGGCAATGAACGTATACGCCGGAAATGAAAGATCACCCCGGTGCACTTAAGGCGACATTAGGCCATGTATAACAACATACTGTTTCTCACCAGAGGATTTTTTAAAATGAAAATCCGGACAATCACAGAAGTGATATTTGTACCGGACAAAGCCATTCGTCATCGATTGTCCCACAGTCATTCACATAGCATGTTGTAAAAGATCAATACGATGATGAGAAACAGATTTATTCTTTTCACGACCTTATTATAGCTTTTAGATTTTCATACATCAATTATGACAATATACATATATGTGTAAGTTGACGCATACAAACATCTCACCTCACACTACCATCAGCACTATTGAACACATTAAGACAATGTCATTATTCCGTTTAATATGGACCTTGCGGAAATATATCCGCCACTCCCGTGAAAGTTCTATGTACATATATATATATACAAGTTCATTTGCAAAATATATTTTTTTCTGCACATGTAATACTGTGATAAAAAGGTCGTTGCTTTTAGCAATGGACGTTGTACCCTTATAAAGGTCAATGTTAAACTATCATAAACATGGTACAATTACATAAATTGGGGATTTTCACCCACCGACTCTGAGATCGAATCATAGTTTGGAATGTAAGTTTGGAAGAACACGTTGTACATAACCATTGTGCCCTGAATTGTAATAGATATAGAATCAGGATTAATGTGGCATAAGTATGTGGGACAGCTGTGTTTAAAAAGACGACGATGTCACCCGTGTTCCAGGTTGAGGACTTTGGTTCCAGCAGCTACTGGTTTAATACAGGATATTGCCACTAGGTATTCACTTTAGTGAAAGAGGTGGGCGAATTAAAACTTCTGCGAACGGAATTATTTCAATTATATCTCGGCGTATAAGCTTAATAGAGAAAAGCCCGACGTGGTCCAGGTCCCAAATGCTTACCACTTTGGTGAAACCCACGAGCAGGGGTTTTGGCATATCAAGAAGCATTATATCAAGATTGTTCAGATGACGATCTTAGCGCTACAACTATCGTAAGCCTGTGTTAAAGTATGAGAGTTACGATCATCTTAGCGCTATCATCATTTTGTGCAAGTAGACCCAGGTGCCTTAACCCACTCTCATGCGCCGGAGTCACATTTCACCTGACAATGTCTTGGGTAATTTCATATATGAAAAATCGTGCAAGGATACTCTGATCTGAAGCTGCTCCTTTCGGAAAATCCAGCTGATGGGATTCCTGTAATGCTGGTTTTGTGTGGCAAGGTGATGATGATAATTCTCACAACGGTACTTAGTGAAAACATTTGTTACGTATGGCAGTGAACAAAAGCAGCAGCGAAATAAAAACAATGGCAGTGATTCGCTGTGCAAATTATGATTGTATCAGTCTCAATAAAGGATTCAAACTGAATCAAAATAAAATTAAATCCATATCTGTAACTCGAACACCATTATCTCGAAATACCTTTCGAACAATCGATACATTTGTCTCATGTCGGCCTCCCGTTTCACTGTACATAAGATTATGCAACAACATATTGTTCTTGAGGAACGTAACGAAAACCTATCCTTCTACATGGACGTGTGTGTTTGTGACGTTGCACTGAATATGAATGAACAAATCCAGGCTTCTTCTTCTTGTCATGTTTCTATCATCTTCTGAGTAACAACACCTAGTTTCCAGGTGACTCAGTTGTGGCAGGTGTAAATACATAGTTTTCATTTCATATTGAAATGAGAGGAAAAATCCAATTAATGCTCAGGTTAGCACATCAGGAGTGTTACTCTCGAACTCATTGTGATTTTCGTCTCCTTTATGATCGTTGAGAAGAGACAACGTTGCTTCAGCATCTCCCAACAAGTCCTGGGTAGGCATTGGTCGGGGAAAAGCAATGTCCCCTCTCGCAAGGAGCGACTCAGTCACCGAGCCCTCACTCTCAAAAACGGATCCCCCACACTGCCCAGAGCCGACCTCCGATCTGGGCATTGACCCGTAGGCTTGGGGAGATCCTCTCTGAGATTTAAGACTCCCTTGGGATTCCACACGGAACAGGGAGTTCAATAATGAAGGAGACGCATACCCGGAGCCTTCAGTTGACTCTTTCATAGACCCCATCCTCGAAGGAGATATCACTTCCGGTTCCGGCCACTCCAGAAACGCTTCCAGCTGTTCCAGGTTGCTTCTTGGCACGGTGGGAGTCCGACTCAGCCTTGAGTAGCACTGATTGTAACTCTTCCCTTGGTTGTAGTTCATAGCCGGGGACATGCGAGGTGGGGGTGGAGGAGCCATTGCAGGTCTGTCACGGAGACTCCTCATTGACGTCGACCTCGGGTAGAGCTTGTGTACGATGGGTGGTGAGAAGGACCTCTGTATTGTCTGACTGGACATGGAGCGTGTCACACGGATGGACTTCCCAGAAGGTCTTTGGTCCTGGACAGTTGCGTATGGAGGGTCATAAGTGTCCAGATATTCCTGGGTGGTCCGGAAGGAACTGCTGCTCCGGAAACGTCTCTTTCGGCGTTTTCTTTAAAATAATTTTTCATAAAGTAAACTTCGATTTTCCGAAAAGCATGCATAGAAAACTTCATTTGTAACAGTAACATACACTACAATAATATCAAAAAGTATTTACCATTTTAAATAATATGTCATATTTTCTCAAAATAGGTAATGGTAATCGATTTTATATACTTCTTTGACATGGATCATAGTACTGACGTCTCGTTTTAACAATGGTGCTAAATTATTGAGTGAGTGAGTTTAACGCCGCTTTTAACAGTATTCCAGTTATATCACGGCGCGTCAGCTTAATGTGGGAGGAAAGCCCGAAGTGATGCAGGTCTCAGACGTTTACCACTTTGGTGAAACCCCAAGCACGGGTATGGTGCTGACAAACCTAGAAACATAATCGGGGCGAACCGGGATTCGAACCCGCAATCATAGGTTTCTGGCGTGCCCAAGGGACGCAACTCTGCACAGCGAATCGCGGCGCCTTAGACGACTGGGCCACCCGTGCCCCTTGGTGCACCATTAAATGACAGTTGAAGCAAAAACAATATAAAATGAAGGCTCTGTTTCGTTTCGTGAAATTAATATTACTGTGAAGCACGATCTTAAAAAGCCAGTATTAAGATATGTTTACAGTGATGTGTATACCTGTATTTGCATATCCACCAGATCCCGCACACCAGGATGACGATAGATAACATGATGACAGCACCACAAGCCGTGAACACCAAGGGCCAGAATCCATAACCTGTGTACAAAACATTCATAATATAGATATATGAAGATTATTGTATCCATTCGTCATTTGTACCATCTTAAGGTAATATTTTATGCAGGTTTTAGTATACATATTCCCAACATAAACATTCCCATCTATTTCGTTATTTTGACGTCGAAACCAATTCCTTTCGCAACCCTACATACAACAAGATCCGATGATCATACATATACTTGACTGTGGCCGAGTTCGATGTGGACATTGGTAGACATTCAAGCATTATACGCGGAAGCCGTGAAGATCCGGGTTAGAATTGATTCACAGCAACCCATGCTTGTTGCAAAAGGCGACTAATGGGATCAGGTGGTCTGGCTCGGTGACTTGGTTGATGCATGTCATCGTATCCCAATAGAGTAGATCAATGTCAGTGGATTGGCTGGTGCAGACTTGATTATTTACAGACCGCCGTCACATAGCTGAAAAATTGCTGAGTGTGGCGTTAAACGACAAACAAACAAATCAAACGCGGAATATCCAAAACTAAAATATTAGTCATATATGTGTTGGTGTTGGTCTATTATATGCATCTGTTTGTGTGATGATGTGGAAATGAAGAATTGGCGATGAGGATGGAGGCATATGATGTATACATACATCTTGGTTTATCCATGCCCATAAAGTAGCTGGATTGTTATTTGAGAAAGATACGTGATGTTTTTATTACCATCTTTCAGAAATGTCGCCCCTGTCGTTGTCGTAGTGGACGTTGTAGGCTCACGGTCGGGCTCTAAAATGAAAACATAACATTTAATAGCATAAACATGTTTCAAAGGTATATGTGCACATGGTATCCAATATCTTATCTTTCAATCAATATCAAAATTTGATATGAAAACGAATTTGAAATGGTAACTATTAGAAAGAAAGCAGAAATACCAGTGAGGGGAGTGTCCGTGAATTGTGGAATTGAAAACGATAAATTCACAATTAAAGTCAAAGATGTTAAGGAATTGTTTTATTTTCTATATTATTTTCCTGTTTTTTATCTTTTGGAAGATATCTATCTAGATACCTTTCACGGATCAGTATTAATGGTAATCTAATTTGTGACAATATTCAACATACAATCACTTAAAACGAAATAACATAGGCGCTCACACTTATCAGTAAAGGAAACCAATTTTGATTCAGTGTATATTCTTTAGAAATTAAGTATTAAACAGTCATACGGAAGCTAGGACATAGGATACATATTATTGACCATATCTTTACTGAACGAAGTGGAACTCAATATTGAATATAATACGTTTGGTCTTCAAATACATGAAAATAGATTTTCTATTAAGGTAGGAACTCACACATTGGTTCCCAATTGAACAAAGAATTATTTGCAAAATGAAATCAAGTTTTGTTAATGTGTATGAAACACCACAACATCATTTAATATAGCTTATAAAATAGCTTATCTCAAATAAAACAAACATAAGGAAGAATTAATTTTAAAACTATCAAGTAAATATTGACTGGTTGTCATGACATCAGCATGTGACTTACTGAAGTGTAAGTTATAAGCGAATATTCAGCTAACTGAGCCGTGAACGGAAATCTCATATTTTGCTGAAAGTGATGGTCCCTTAAACAAGGATATCTTTTTACAATAATGTACGTCATGACTATAAAATTCATTCGTAAGATATCCATAGCATTAAGGATGCTTTATGTATGAGGGCCCTGAATGAGCATTTTAACTTCACGTACCTCCACATGTGATGTTCACATTTTCTCCATCAGTCGCTGAAACAAAGACGTACACTGATAACTCGCAGTCGATGTTAGAAACATACAATGTAACAATCAACGAAGCTTCAATGCCTCGCGATACTTTGTGTCCTTGGGTGAATATCGTATCGTGAGATCCTTTATTAACACACATATCTGCACATGTACGTAGGAAAAAGGCAGTTGCAGAACAAATAGATTTGTATCATTGCCTCAAGTTCAGAGTGAGTGAGTTTGGGTTAATGTCGCTTTGAACAGCAATCCAGTTATATCTTGGCATGTCAGCCTGAAATGGCGGGAAAGACCGAAGTGATGCAGGTCTCAGACCAAATATGAACAATTTCTGTTACTTGGAAGAAGATTTGTGCACAAATCAAATCTAAAAGCAAACATTCTCTCATAAAATGTAATAATAACTTCACAATGGTATTGTTAACTGTGTATGATTTTTTAATTTGAAGTTAACACGACATGCGACTTTTCCATTTGAAGAGAGGTCTGTCACCTGACCGCGAAATTGACGTTCATAAGTGCATGAACGACACAATTTGACGTTCATACGTTTTTCACAAGACCGTGTTCTTGAAATATAAACACTGGCGGACTACTTCCACATTCATGGGGGGGGGGGGGGGGGGGGGGGGGGGGGGGGATTCTCTAGCACGAATACATGCACAAGTGTTGTTTCTGATCATTTAGACCATTTAATCTTGAACTCAGCGTCTTAGTTTACATTAAGAAACGTCAGAGAGTTTGACTGCATTATCGTTTACGAATGTCCTCGCTACGACCCATACTGGTGACCAAAACGAAGAAATGCACATCCGAACTATCGTTGAATCGACTCGATCCGTGTCTTGGCTGACAGTGACAGCCTACAGCCATCTATGATTTTACCTTAGTGTCAATTTGACACATCTTTTATCACCTTTCAATGATCGGCCAATTGATCAATGTTGACTAAAACATGTAACCGCCACAGGTTCATTAGCAACTCCCGAAATCTCTCCCGTCACGTTTATTATTTTTCGTCTTGTACTTGTTATATTTATTATGACGCGCTGTCATTGTGACTGACTTACTGAGGTAGTTCTCAACAGACCTTTCTCATCTAATGGTGATACTATTTGAATATATGTGTTGCGTGAGATGTTTCTGAAGAGCAAGTTGTGCATCCATACGCCCATGTCACCTCTCTCATTGAGGAACTATTTTATTCCGCGATATAGCTGGTTGTTGTATGGCTGTCAGTGTAAACAAGAAGTCACACATACCAAATAAAATTGTGTATATATCTTGGCCTACATACTTTGAGGTAAGAAATTGTGATCAAAATTATAAGAATTAATTTTCACTTTGCGTGGGTTCATTAGAGTATGAACCTTCATTAAGTGAGGGCCAAACATTGTATGAACGTTGTAGCAAGCTTCGACGTTAATACAGTTTGGCCCTCACTCTATGAAGGTTCATACTCCAATGAACTCACACAAAGTGAAAGTCAATTCTTAACAAACTTCACATTACACTGGCATACATATAAATGGACGAGTTATGAACGGCATTTTAAAATGTCTGGAGGCAGTGTTTCAAACTTTAGCACTATGAGGCCATCCATTAAAAGTTTCAGATGAGCTAAACTCTCAAAAGCAAAATCAATTAATGTATAATCAAATCTATTTGTTTATGACCAATACGAACATAAAAGTAGCAATAGAGAGGTTGAAGGAAACATGTTCAATACTTGAAAAGCACGTGCGACGCAAAGATGTCATTAAATGTCGGTAAAATAGTTCGAAAAACATTTAGTATAAAAAGCTACTTTCCGATGAAGAAACTAAACTGAAGCAAAATGCAAATACTGAAAAATCATTAAACTATTTCTAATGTATGAAGCAAGCAACACGTTTTAGACACGATCAAGACAGGTCAAATTAATCCAAAGGTAATTTATGTAACCCCATAAAAAGTACCTGGTTACCAATCCCACGATTTTAGACGAAAAGATAATGCCTTTTGGTTGTTTTACTACAAAAGTGAAGTATGACGGACAAAGAGCAGGGAGGAATAATTTCTACTAGATGAAAAAAAATTAAATTAAAACAACAGCCCCATGTAACTTCCGATAAGCACTATTCTAAATGGTAGAGGAGAATTCCATTCTTGTCATTCTTTCTTGCCGGAGGGGCGGTCGGGTAGCCTAGTGGTTAAAGCGTTCGCTCGTCACGCCGAAGACCCGGGTTCGATTCCGGTCATGGGTATTATGCGTGAAGCCCATTTTGTGTGTCCCCCGCCGTGTTATTGCTGGAATATTGATAGAAGTGGCGTAAAACTCACTCACTCACTTTCTTGTCGGTGATTGAAGCTATGGACTGATCTTGACGTTTGCAAAACGTATATGTGGACAAGTCATTAAACTGTTTCAGTTCTGACGGGTTGCGCTGCTTAATGTGCGCATAACACAACAACCAGCATGAGAAGATCCCACTGGGATATGACCCCGTAAGCCTCGCTATGTTTAGCAATCTGCCACGTCTGATAATCAACTCAGAACAACCCCAAGGGACATATTTACACAAACACAGCTATGCACATTATTTATTACTCTACGTATATTGCATTACCGAAATAGAAATACATAATAATTACTTTAAAATCTCGTTTGATATTTTCAATCTAGATAAACTGTCCTAAACCGACATATGTTCCTGCGCACACAGAGGAACCGTGTACATCAACACACACGACATTTAGGGAATAAAAACGTATAACTAATATCTATAGATGTGCCGTTGCATCCCTGGGGATGAAGGGGGATGTATTATTTACTAGGTATATGTCCATATCCCCGACTGCCTCGGTCATGGTTCTGTGGTTGTCTGAGATCTTTTACACACCGAAACACTATCAAATTTTTTTTTAAAGTCGTGGTTTCAATTTTAATGTCAGACATGTTAGTTGGTGAGTAAGAAGTCATGTTTCCTTTTGCTTTCCTGTTGTATGGTAACATGGACATTGGCGACGGGGTAGCGCATTGTGTAATGCCTTGGTTGCTGAAGGCAGGGTTATATTATTCCCACCACGGCAGAAGAATGTCCTGTACTTAAATGTGAAGTACACCCCTCCACACTAACGTTTAACATGAAAGGAAACGACAAAGTGGGAAGGGTTGTTTAAAGCGACAATCAGCACTATTATAGCAAGCATACTGCCATATGTTAATATTCCAGTCTGGACCAGGCAAACCATGGCCAGTGACTGTTTCTTGTTTGTTTGTTTGTTTGTTGTTTAACGCCGCTCTCAGCAATATTACAGCTATGTGACGGCGGTCTGTAAATAATCGCGTCTGGACCAGACAATCCATTGATTGACATCATGGGCATCGATCCACGCAATTAGGATACGATGACATGCATCAACCAAGTCAGCGAGCCTGACCACCCGATCCCGTTAGTCGCCTCTTACGACGAGCATTGTCATCTTTTACTTTTACCATGTCTTCACGGGTTCGATCCAATAGTAACTCAGAAAGATATTTTGACATTAGCAATACACTTTATGGGTTTGAAAACAAACAGTGACGTTTACCAACAATACAGGAAATAGGTGACAACATTGATTTTTGATGAAACAGATAATATGTATAATATAGATAATATTTCAAGAGCTTTTAATTACTTTTCAACGTATCTGCAATACCTTGCCATGATGCATACGTATTTAAAATTCAGTTAACATCTGAAACCATATATTCAATTATCGTCATGGTGGCTTTAAAAAGTAAGGTTCAACAAAGACTACTTTTGATATTATTTCTATCTCTTTCATTTTCGAAATCCACTTCATTTTATGTCGTCGACAAAAATGTCGACCTTAACGATGTGAAGATATACGTAATAGCTTTATCACAGACCCATTCAACCTGTGCAAGAATATTAGGTATTTCTGCGTTATTTAACGCGAAAAGAAATTCCTGGGATCGATAACCACGCACACGGGCGTCTCAGAGCGATTCCCAAAAGTACACTGCTTCTGACATTTTCCCACTTCTTGACCACAGATAACAAAGCCGGAAAATAATCGATATTTGATATCAAAGATGAGGACACATGGGACATCCTTCAACGCACATACGCTGTATACTCTTAAAAAGCATTGCCGACAACGTGGTTGGCTCAGAGGGGATTACGACATCGTCAACTATCAACCAGAGACATCTGGTGCAGATTTGAATGGCAGGAACTACAGAGGCTGGCGCGCGCCTGCCTGATGGCGTATTACCCACATTCGTTGCTATGTCCCAAAGGGGGCCAATATGAGGCACCTAAGCTCGTTTAATAAAAATAGTTTGAAGATTTGTCATGGCTGCTTGCTTCAGAGTAAGAATAGGTCTCATTTTTCGTTGACTGGCGAGTCCGAGACACATTAAGCGCGCTCTCCCTGAAGAGATTACCATATGAGAACGCCAAACCCTTTTAATAAGTTTTGAGATTTGTCAGGAAAGTCTGGTGGACATTGCAAACAAAGGGTCGTGACATTTAACTTCTAGTATTGCTAGATGCGGCTAGTTTATCAAAGGAAGTCGTAAATGCCAGGTGGAAATGTCAGACTCAATCACACTTATTTCTGTTTGATTATTCACACATCGTATCCCATCCAATGATTCTGTGATACCCCAGGTATATTAACCACAGAGTCAAACAAAAGAAGCAAAGCGTAAAAACTGATATTGATTTGGAGATAATGATACTTTCCTTGGTCGTCTAGTTTGGTTTTATCAAGTATGTAACATCAGTTCAAAAGAAAAGAGAAAATAATGAATGTTCAATTAAATTAGCAAACCTTAAAAGGTAACCTTTGTTTCTGTATGCCTGATGGAAGGACATATACAGGAACCTAGATTTTCTTCCAGACAGGAGGTGAGGTGAAATGGGGTTTAACGTCGCGTCCAAGATTATTGCACTTATATAGCGACGTGCATGCACGTGTGTGTGTGTCTGGCTGCTTGTACTAGTCCGGACTGATGCCGATTTATAGTGCTAGCTCACTGAGATACCATGCCGCAGTTTAACATGAATACCCCACTCAGACACAGTATACTGACTCCGAGCCGACCAGTCCTTGTTTTAGCCCCTTCATGCCGAGCGCCAGACAGGGTAACAACAAGTACCATCTTTTAACGTCTTTTGGTATGACGCGGCCGGGGATCGAACCCAAGACCTTCCGCTCTCCGGGCGGACGCTCTACCACTAGACCACGGAGGCGGTCCTTCCAGACAGGAGAGGGTCCCTATTATCCAATGGGTAAGAGAAAACTTCAGAGGATCTGGTGTCCATAACTGGTATTTGGTTTGTGTGTTGTTTTACGCCGCACTCAGTAATATTCCGGCTATATGACGGCGGTCTGTAAATAATCGAGTCTGGACCAGTGATTGATATCATGAACATCGATCCACGCAATTGGGATCGATAACATGCTTCAACCAAGTCATCGAGCCTGACCACCCGATCCTGTTAGTCGCCTCTTACGACAAGCATAGGCGCCTTTTACGGCAAGCATGGGTTGCTGAAGACCTTTTCTACCCCGGATCTTCACGGGTCTCCAGAACTGGTGACATGGTTTATTGCGTGTCATGGTGTGGCTGGTTTTTCTAGTTTTCAGTCACTGGTTTGTCTGGGCTTTACTCGATTATTGACTTAACATGCCAAACATGCAATCTAAAATAGTGCTGACTTCGAACATTAAACATTATTTACACTCTCACTGCTTTCTAAAGCACAAGCCCTGATTGTGAACGTAATAATAGCACATTATCCCAGCTTCAAAGCGCATTGTAATAAAGATGTTGAGTATGTGGTTGCAAGCATTCGCAGGAAGAAATAACAATGTAATACCTTTAATTCTCAGCCACAGCTTCATGCTATCAGCCACAGTGATGTTGATTTTGCTCCCCGAAATGAGTTCCTGAAATCCAAACAGTGGAAGGTCGTTTGCTCGGATGATCTTTTCGGCTGCTTCAGTTTTTAGTTTCAGTTCAGGGTGAGAATCCTTGCCCATCACACTTGATCGTATATCCAAAGCTTGCACCGAGATCATCCCTCCGCCAGGTGACCTCACAACGCATTTACGTGTAGCGTTTGTGGTGCCCTTCAGGATCACCTCATTTTCAGATTTGGTGATGTAGTTGGGTTGTAATAGATGTGTTTCTGTTGGATCTGAAATATACCTATAATTGATAACCTTCAGTCTAAATATATAAGAATATCCGATTTCCCTGATCTATATATTCTTGTCTTTGAAAGGCATTTAGAAGTGATACACATTAGGAAGAGAATTTATGGAAGTTGACATCCATAAATTCTTCCTTATATATTCTTGCTTTAATTATATGTATCTGCTTTTTTGCATCTTATCTGTTCAATGTCAAACACCAGTCATATTATGTATGAACAGAGGCAAGAGTTCACAAGTTACCTCTGTTCATCTAGGAGCAAATGGATACCTGATAGGGTGAGATAAAATGTAAATGCAAAATCTTTAAGGCAGGATGCATGCATAATTGTTATTATCATTTACAGATTAAATTTTTTTTAAATCAGCAAAGAGGGTTTGGGTGATCCTGGCACAGTCAGGCTAGGCTCATCATCAGCCCAGGACTTCTCCCAGGAAGCGCTGCCTAAGTCGAACCCACCCAGATCTTTTTGGATAATGTTAAGACTCTCCAACACTGTAGCCTTCTGCATTACCCAGATTGTCAGAAGGGCTATATTCCTGCTAACAAGCCCGGGTACACTCTCGATGTCAGTCAACAGATTTGGAGGTACCATACCTAAGGTCCGCATAATTGCCATTTTTTTCCTGAATCTTGTGAATCACATTGGTGTCAAAAGGGACAGACAATTCAATTATATACTTAAAATAATTTCATTGGATTTATCAAAAAGGACAAGATCAGGTTTGTTGGCCTGGATACGTCTGAGGCTGTATTATTATTATATATCACACCTTCTAGTTATCATGATAAGTGTAGAGAATAAAATATTGCCACCTACCATCAACACATTGGTACATGATCTTAAAGTAACTGGAGTGTGTGTTGTTGTACAGCTTCCTCTGCATAGGCTGGAACACACTGTGGCCTAGAGTACACTCCTGTTTCTCCATACACTCCTGTATTGCAGCCTTCATAAAGGTCCTGTAGTGTCCCCCGTCCTCGTCGTTCCAAACATCTTGTAAACAGTGTCCGTCATACAGGACATCGGCGTTGTTACGCTTACAGCAAACCCTTTCAGTGGATATCCTCTTTGTACATTCACTGCTCTTCTTTACTGCAAAGAGGAGGGACTTCAGAACTATAACCTTTCCAGTCGTACACACAAGTTCTGCTGGACTACCATCATCTTGAGCGCAAGTGTCTTCTTCTGAATCTTCCTCGTGAGCAGCATAGTTATTACATGTCTTCACATCCTTTTGATCTAAAAAAACCCAAAGTAAATATTGTGAATAAATGTCTTATTAGTACAACTTGCTACACTGTCATCGCCATCTCCTCATTAGCATTACACAGATAATCGTTATTGCAGTGCTTCATAAAACGTGCATGAAAACTAACTGAACAGGAGCATCCATCACCACGGGACTCACACAACGTTCCTCAGATGACATTTCCAGGGTCAGACTTAGATCCTGTCAGTTATCAGCCAGACTATCTTGAACACCAGTATCATAAACATTAGTGTGGTATTTGTTTCAATTGTTAGATAAATAAATATATGAATAAAGTTAACATATGTCTTTATCGGGGAAAAGAAAACTTGTCATTGATGTTTAAAATAAACAGCAACAAACACCTCGTTGTGCATTCTTCTAACGAATATAAAGCATGATATGGCAAATACACAACCTCAAGTTGCACAATACGTCACGCTATGAAGATGGTAAGGAGGAACAGGAACAATGTTTAAATATATTCTCTATGTGTGTGACCTTTAGCTCTATTCTAAATGCACAATGCGTGACTCAAATAATATAACCATTATCAAGCTGTTGGCATGTATTCATGAAAATTTTCCTGACATTATATACAGTAAACTACGGTTATAACGAACTCAAAGGGACTACTAATTTTAGTTCGTTATAACCGTAGTTGGTTATAAACATATCTACAGCATAACTACAGCAAATAGTCAGGACCAAAAAGTAAGTTCGTTATATCCGTCAGTTCGTTATAAGCGTGTTCGTTTTAACCGTAGTCTACTGTACTTCCCAACCATGATTACATCATTTCAGTAACTATACTTAATGAGTTGGGGTTTTAAGACTCCTTTCCCTACTGGCATTGTAAGATTAAACAGTAAACATATCAATGTCTCTAAGATCTGTTATCAATCAGAAACATCAGTCGTTTCGGGCAAGGAAGTTCATCAGCACCCCGCCACGTCTGTCTGTCAGACTCCGGTCCCTAGAAGGATGTTATTAACATTTAATATAAGCTGCAAGGCCAGCACTAATAATCTCATTCGCAGTAGAAAATGCTTTACAGGAATCCTCGATCAACAACAAACTGAAGCTTTATCCTCGACATGAAAGTTTTTTCCTGTAAAACCTTTTCATTAAAGACAGTTAGCATGTGACAACAACATGTCTCATTAAGCAAGTCATCCTGGGTAATGGGGACACCGGGAGAAAACAGGCGAAATGAAATAACACACGGGGTTGAAACAAACTGAAAAGCCCAGGAGCAGACAAAAGCTCAAACCCTTGACATGCCTTAGGTATGACTCAACTCCTTGGGTGAAGTGGGTGAGGAGAGTCACATTGTGGGGACAGGGAAGTACGGGGATAGTATTGAAAGTGCACGTGTGGTTGGAGTGTCGGTGTGCCAGGTGGGTGTTCAGGGGGTAGAAGTGGGGTGGAGGGGGCTGGCACGTGATGTTGCATAAACGTACTTAAGGTAACGGATGGCTTTCATATATTTCCCGGGTCATATTTAAAGGTGAAATGAAGGTCGTCTTGATGAATGAGTGAAGAGGCTAAGGTATTGTAGCGGTAATCTCTCAAGCATTCATGGAGAAGACGTTAGATAAAATGTGACCAAAATACCAAACATGTCATACTTCACGTCTCATATAATGCATGTATAAATAACACATCTATAGTAATGCTTTCGGTACTCTCCTAAATCCCTGCACATAACACTACATCATCATACACTCGAGAGGTTTTAACAGCAATAGATCAACATTATCACTGCTTGATGGGGGAAGGCTGACTAGATTGCTATAGTATAGAAGCCTTTCTGTCAATACATCTGCTTAAACCAGAACCAGTCCAAAACATTTTATATGGGTATTTTATGTCAGGATTAAAGAAACTAATCATGTTTATTTAATGCTCAAACTTGGGAAAACGACAAGTCAAATACATCCGATGGGTATAAAATACCCCCTTACTGGTGCCGGATTGTCTTGTAAGTGTCCGATGTTCTCGGGGCTTATGTATGTGTATTGATGTGACGTACAAGTTATGTCAATATAGCATTCATAGTGACAATTCGTGAAGGTGACACACAGACACACAAGACACGCTGGCGACTTCTGAAATGTTGAATCGTGCACAAATGTTTACGAAAACGGCTAAAAACGAATTTCTGATAACTGATTACTCACTAAATAATTTCTCAAACAACAGTCTGTGACAGTCGTACCAAACTTTGTATCAGCGTAAATACAAGAAACAAAACTATTTCCGTATTCATGAGAATACTCTGCAAATAGCAGTGTTGATAGAACGGTTCCGACTGTATCATGATCATGTGTTTATGAATCACTATTAAATAGTGACGATGCTAGGTGTTCGCGAAAAATCAGTGTTAGTATCGGTTCCAAGCCTTTCATCTTGAAAAGTTATCTATAATTGTTCGTTTTCCCCTTCGTATAGAATAATAGATTATTTTCATGCGTGTTTATCGAAGTTTAAAGCAAATGATAAACAAGACAGGAAAACTGATAACTTTGGAATTTCGATTCGTAACATATCTTTTAAATAAATATTGAAACACAATGTTATCTCAGATAGTTGCCATTGCCCTTCATGACCACTTGTCGATCTGTAGAGAGGCGTGAGTATGCCTTTCGCAATATGACAAAGCATCAAAGTATTTCAGTTCTAAGAGTCTCATCATTCCCACTCGTGCACATAAACATGCATATCACAAAGCGCATATCACGCGAGTTCTGGTAATCACATGATCCGAGGGTAACCTTGTTTAAACACCCATACGAATGGATCACGCAGCTACCTGCGCAGTTCATACAACCGGACATATTTTTCAGATATGTCACGAAACCCACACAGACGTATTAAATGATTCATGACTCAATGTCATGAAGTAAATTTGGTAAAGTCATTGGAGGCCTGATACTTTTTTTAAGGTTTATAAAACAGACAGTCCATCGTTTATCTTTTTTCTCCGAAATGACACTTTGAACACTTTACTTGAATGGCGTTAGGCGTTTTATAGCATGCCAGTCATGATGACTTAACCCGAGACAAACTGAGCGCACTCGGAGCTGTTAAAAGCGTAGGTGTTGCAAGCTTGACAGCCCTAGTTGAACTACACAACAGGATTGTGATAGTGTGAATGACAAAACAAACCGACCATTGATCCAGCTGTGGTTTTGTACGAGCGCTTGGAGACATGCGGTAACTAAAGTATTTGTTTGCCATCGTACGAAGTACAACCGAGGGATCAGTGACCGCGGAGATAATATATACATTTTGTTTTAACAGATCGTGTTCCTTTGCTATCACCACTTAACAATAATCCAGAATATTTGTATTCACACTCAGCATATGGTTAGTCTGGTTGTGTTATTTGAACGGGTTAGTACATATACATCATCAACGCTAGGGAAAAATAAGGAGTCTTGTTTATGCAGGGTTAAATGCACGTACAACTTAATGTGGGATTTCGTTCCAACAGGTGACAAGAGTGGGTTATTGATGTATGATTGCCCAAGCATTAAAAACGCGCTTGTCACCAGGTAGATCTGCTCTACTGTAGCTTATACAGAGCGCCCCTGTTGAGATGTTGATGAATGACACTAACTCACTGTTCTCACTATAGTCAAATAGTCATTTTGAATGAATAAATGTTACACATGTATATATATGGCCTATTATGAAACAAAACGTTTTCATGGTGAGTTGGTGAGTTAAAAATTCAAATATTTGGCAACTGGCAATACCTGAAAACGATGGTAAGATCGAAAATAGTTAACAGCATCAAGTCAATAAACAGTTTGAAACATTTCGCAGATTACATATGGAATTAAGCAATATTCCTCCACATCATAAACGAACTTTTAAAACAGGCAACAGTAAGGCCATCATAACGGCGTTCATTGGGTATTGTACGTTTTGTTTGTGAACGACTCGCATGGCTAGTTCTTCATTGATGACATATATGCAAAGCAGACATAGAATCTGTGGCTTTTGTTAGTACGCTCTGAATTCAGATGTTGACATATAGGTGAATTCCAACGTGAATCATGCCTCTTGTAAAGTGACATCCACATAAGATGATTCACGAAATAAAAACTGGATTTGATTCAGGAGTTACATTAACAGAAATAAAACTGTGTGCCTTGTAATAAACTGAACGTTGATAAAAGGAGTAGCGCACTTAAAGTATCATTTTTTATATGATGGTGGTTTGGGAACGGAGCAAGGTTTCAGTACCAATACCTCCCCCCTTTAGCCACCCATCATCCCCCCGCCCCATCCTCACCTACCTAAACACCCCATCCACCCCGCACCCCCACCCCAACCACCAACATTTCTGTTAGTGAGGTTTTCATGTTATCTGTTTACGTGAATAACAATCCTACGGTAAATTCCCTCTTCATGCACACAGCTACTTGACTTAACAGCGTGTTGCCAAGTACACAAACGTCATGCTTAGCAGATCTGCCAGTTCAGCGGAGCAGCAAATTATCCGGAAACTTGTTCTTCTAATTTACTGGCTCAGTGTGCACGTTTGAAAAAAATGAATTAAAACACATGTCTAAAACAAGAAGATCATCGGATGATGTTTATTTCGAAGAGCCGAACTAAATCGATGTGTCATGACGTCTTCCGTATCACCAGAGCAGCACCTGGCCAACTATTGATGTCCACCGGGCTGTGTCAAGCTTATGTCCACTGCTATTCACTATTCAATGTTCGTTTCTTTACCTAGACGCGTGTCAGCTTACACGCATGAAGCCGAAATTAGGTGGCAGGAAATATAGATTGTATGCTTCATTGGAGTTATCCGGTTGATAAGTGTCAAACTTTGTATATGTTTAGTGACAAGGAAAAATTACGTCTAATTTTCTATTGTCCATATAAAACAATGTCGTTTTTAAGTCTCAGCAGCTGCCACTAAGGTTAATCATGAATAGAAACCAACAGAGCAATATTTCCCCCTTCTCAATTCAACGTTCCGTGGTATTGTCCCCCAACACAGGGACACAAAAGGGACATTAAATGCGCACGATGAATCCACAGCGCCGTAGCAACTCTCACGTATGATCATTATGGGAGATGGCTTGGTCGCTTTAATGTACACAATACACCACTTTCAAGTCCTTGGAACTTGTTTAAATTGGACATTTGCATATGCGGTCACACATGGGCCCCCATAGGATAATATTTTACATCCACATAAATATTCTTTTTTTTAAATGCGTGAGTGTGAGTGAGTTGGGTTTAACGCCGCTTTTAACAGCATTCCAGTTATATCGCGGCGTGTCAGCTTAATGTGGGAGGAAAGCCCGAAGTGATGCAGGTCTCAGACGTTTGCCACTTCGGTGAAACCCACGAGCACGGGTATGGTGCTGACAAACCTAGAACATAATCGGGGCGCACCGGGATTCGATCCCACAATCATAGGTTTCTGGTGTGCCCAAGGGACGCAACACTGCACAGCGAATCGCGGCGCCTTTGACGACTGGGTCACCCGTGCCCCCTTTTCACATGCGATGTACATATACATATACATACACATATTGCTTTTGTGTATCATTATGCAAAAAAGGGAAAATATTCGTTAGAGTAAATTTTGAACTGTTGACGATGTTACTATTTGTTTCTTAATTCTTGATCTAATTTTATATGAAATTTATGGCTTTGATGACAAAAAAAACGACGTCCCCACCAGTGCATAGTTCATTTCTTGCACTATCTGCTTCTGTTACCATGGTTTGCACTTATAACCTTTCATCATAGTCTGATGGATCCATGGATGTACAATGCAACCTTGTTAATCCGGACATGATTAGTCTGAGATTTTGACATTTTTAATTTTTTATATTTGGGGTTGTGGGTTGGGTTTAGTGTTGGTGTTGGGTTGGGTAGGGTGTAATGTGTTCAGTATCAATGCTTCTTTAATCAGAAAATGTGTTACTCTAGATGATTTCTCTGAGTAAAGAACCACTGTAATTTTTACTTACAATGATTCAGAACAACATGTATGTACACACTGTTGTATTCAGAAAACAAGAACCCATTAAGTTTCATAGCGATTATTACTTACGTCCCAGAACTGGGGGAACTATTTTTTAAAGTTGTTTGATACATCATAAACACCGTCAGCCCCACCTTACATGTGAGCTGTTGACAAGACAGAAGACTAAACCGAAACCCCGTTAATCTGGAAACCCGCACTACCCGGTTTTATATGGAACGTCAATAGATAACCAAAGGAATGTTAATCCGTGTCCATCCTTCGTTAATCCAGAACGTTGACGAATTAACTGATTTCTGTACCATCCGAATGAACGAGGTTACCCTAGATTTTATCCTGGTGGTTTAGAATACATCAGGAACGCTCTTTAATAAGTAAAATTTATATCACATTTATAAGTGTTTTTATCCTAATTCCTTGCATAGCATTTGTATTACTGAATTAAACATACCGATCACTTAAATGAGTGTGACACATCCCTCAATCAGTACATATAACAATCTGTGTCCTCGCGAGCTGATGATGCAAGTAGCTCCCATACACAACACACGCTTCATCACTTGTAGAAGATAGATCACCGTTCGCAAATACACCTTTGCACATTACTTGACAGCCAATAGACCAGATAACGTGATATATGGATTAATATTTCTGCATTATTTGTGCAAAGGGAACATAGAAATTGAAATCCATGCATACTTCTAAATTGTTCAAGTCTGTTGTCACTATAGACAATAGATGTAACTATAGTTACAATATTATCGATGCGACGGAAAATTTGAACTAACTCACTCGAAGTACATCAATTCTTAGGAAACGTTGACGAGTCACCATATATAATACAGCATGTGCAGTAGTGGTGGCTTGGAATATGTTTATTTATTGTTGGATTGGCATGATCTGATTAGTTTATAAATCATGCAAATGTTACATAAAAACAACAACAACAACAACAACTTGACAGCCCATTTCCATAAGTTGCCTGTCGATTTCATAATAAAATGCATTGTTATTGATAACTTTGAAAGTTCATTATGACAACCTCTCAGCACTACTGAAACTTTCAAAACAAACAACGCATGTTGGTGACAGGCATTTGCATTGCAACTACTCACATACTTCCCCGAGCAGTTGAAACATCGTAAATATCATTGTATTTGGTAAAATAGCTATATAGAAAAGCTTAAAATGCATTATTTACCAAATGTTTGCGCTATCACAAACTTAGTAATAAGAATGACAAGTAGTTTGACATACCTGTTTTCGAAGTCCAAACACCCAGCACAAAGCAGCTAATGAGAAATATAATCCACGCAACGTGTGACGACATGTTGGGGAGACGGTATCCTGCAGGTCCAGACACGCGCGATGCAAGTGTGTGCTTGTCTTTATTTCAAGGGACGTGTTTTAACACGCAGTAGACAGGTACCCAATAGCAACGAGGAACTAATTTTTCAGGGGGTCCCACCCGAATCCTAACGGCTGACCTAGATTTTTGTGGAATCGATATGCATAGCCCAGAGATAGGGGTGGTGGGTTCAGCCTATTGACGACTATTTGAATAGCGAGTTACACCGGAAATATTATAATACCCATGCAGTGTCATACACGTCACGTGGCGTGCGCCCTTGGGCGTATTCGCTTGGAGAAACCAATTTCATAATCTGATTAAAGTTTGCTCCCATTCTTATAGATCATAATCATCAACAATGGATTATTCCGCAGAAGTTCTGTAATAGCTGCAAACACCACTGATGTTTTATTTCCACAAAAGTGTCATTTTCTTTGAAAAACGTCCACCGTGTTCACATTACGAACCGAGAGCACAAAGATATCCTTTTTATCCACAAAAAGGCACAGCAATGCACACTGCAAGACTATAGCAAATACAGTCTCCAAATGAAGACGATGAAAATAACTTATGAAGTTAACCGTATCTCCAGTCCATCCAACCGAATAGTGTTTACCTCAAGTCTGAGAGCGATGCTACGCTTTATCTAGAGGCATCGTTCATTATGATTGGTAGTTCGCACGAATCCTTTTGGGAATGGAAATGAAAGCAGGTACACAAGGGCTGACTTCTCATTGAACGGGAGAATGTGATCGGCGTGAGGCGGATCATAAAAGCTTTAACATAGACCAACTACAAAGGGACTGCAAAGCATCTGCCAGGGGCTCCGTTCAAATCGTAATGACACCGTCCCTGGACTTGACTTTATCTATGTAATCTTATTCGAGTCATTTCAATGCTGTTGCGATCTGATGACTTTTTCCGATGCATGCTGAATGTAATAACGGTGGGTCACGTGACCCAAGGGGGTGATCGTGGGGACAAGCAATCAACTCAAATAACCCAGGGGTCGGCCCCCCTAACTCGGATTTAGATAAGCCGGGATACGGCTGTACCTTTTGCGTGTTGTTATCAGTAGCGATGATTAGAGTATAATGGAAATAGAAGATTACACCGTGAAAGTTAGGTGAGAAGTTGATGCGCCAAACTTACCCCTCCCGAGGCGATATATAAACTTATACGGGCGCCATCTTAACTCGGTTTCAAATAACGTGTTAAGCTGGAAATCATATTACTTGGCCATTGAAACGCGGAGACAAGCCACGAAAGCAGAGGGGCCCCGGCTAAAAGGATTGGGAGTTTACATGTGATTGCAGTGTGTTATGCGTAATCTAATTTCTTGAGAAATTCTATTAAAACCCCTGCCATTAAAACAGGCCCTTTTGTGCGAGGCTGTGTCTTTGCTGTAGTAAAGGATCCGTGAAATACGATCTGCGAGGGAACACACTCAACTGAGTAATGAAAACTAACATTAGTTCCAAGGGCACCGGCTTTTATTAATCTCAAGGATGGCTTGTTTTTCCATGATACAAAGCATTTTTAAATATTTTCACTTAACACCTTAAAGAAATTCTATTGTACTTTGTACAAAGGTGTTAATGTGCTTCTCAATAGCTTTGAGAAATAATGGTCATGTACAAATAATTAATCTATACTTTTTACAACTTTCATTAAACTAAGTTAACTTGAAAGTATATCAGATGTATTTAAAAAAATATATATCTTTTAGTCATGATTAAATTTTTAGATTTCATACCCACTAAAATGGTTAACGTATAGTGAGAAATTCGTCCTTGAAAAACAAGGCTCACAAAAGTTTCATATTTTTTAGATGGACCGTGATAATAAAAGAAAGCACATATTGATTATAACAAGGAGCTGTGAACCAGCCAACACGTAATGCAAGGACGTATATGTGTTTATAATGATGCTGCCTTTCGGAAGTGACTTGTGTTTTTACACTCATGCGTGACATGTCATACCTCGTTATAGTAAGTGAGTAAGTGAGTGGGTAGGTGGGTGAGTGAGTGAGTAAGTGAGTGGGTAGGTGGGTGAGTGAGTAAGTTTTTGCGTGAGTGAGTGTTTGTGTGAGTGAGATTTTGCATGAGTGAGTGTTTGCGTGAGTGAGTGGGTGTTTGCTTGAGTGAGTGAGTGAGTGAGTGCTTGAGTGCTTGAGTGAGTGAGTGAGTGAGTGAGTGAGTGAGTGTTGGTGAAACCCAAGAGCACGGATATGAGGTTAACAGACCCAAAAACATACACAGGGCGAATTTGGGATTCGAACCCACAGTTATAGGTTACTGGCACGCCTAAGGGACTCAAACCTCAACTGAGAGTTGCACCTCCACCATTGCCACCTATTAAAACAAAATAAAACTGCATAGAAAGTAGTCGACCAATTGATCCGGGTTCGAATCCCCCCAAAATGCATATGTGCAACCCAGTTTGGTGTGTCTTTGGTCCGTGTGTGGTCTACAAAATGACGCATTTTTTAAAAGCTGCATGGAACCAACAATTGTTAACAATAAATAGAAAATCAAAGTGTATTATTATATGGATTTGAAAACATTGAGCTCACCACAACTTGATGTGGAATACAGACATCACTGGATGGCATATTCTTACTTTGCTTTTATCCCCATAGGTACCAGTCTGAATTTCTATACAGTTAAGTTGTGCTTTCCCTCTTATACGGACCCGTGAAGATCCGGGGTAGAATAGGTCTTCAGCAACCCATGCTTGCCTTAAAAGGCGACTATGCTTGTCGTAAGAGGCGACTGACGGGGTCGAGTGGTCAGGCTGGCTGACTTGGTTGATGCATGTCATTTATCCCAATTGCGCGGATCGTAATCATGATGTTAATAACTGGATTGTCTGATCCAGACTCGATTATTTACAGACCGCCATCATATAGCTGGAATATTGCTGAGTGCGGCGTTAAACAACAAACCAACCAACCCTCTTATACGGTGCAATAATGTCCTATGACAAATCTATTCTATCACTGAACCTAAAATCCTCCAATTTTGAACAAACAAACGTTGTATTCTCATCTGACTGTACAAAGATAAGATTATAAACACAAACCCGCACTACCCAAGCCGGGACAGCAAGGTCAGCGCGGTGATAACAGTGATTTAAGAGGCACAAGATCTGATACAGAACATTATGAGTATTTTTGAGTATCTAAGAGGTGACGAGGGCGTGGTTAAGTGCTGCTTAATCGCGGAAATGCTTCGCGGGCGATAACAGACGCCCACAGCGGTGAGAGACTTAAATGCTAATCACCTGATTATTCTTTTGAACATAACTAACATCTTGAATTATAATCTCATCGGCATTGTTCTTCACTGAACTAGTATCAGTTAAAACATCACCCCTGATGGAAGAGGTGATGAGTCATCTTTGACTGCCATATCTCGATCAATTCAATGCATATTTGTAAAGATACCGCTTCTAATACAACTAACTGTTCTGTATCAAACCGCCCCTGGGCAACATCCACTGTGCATGAGTACACACAATACAACACACGTTTACGCCCCCAGTGACGAGCAGCGATATTCTCCTAAATACTGAATGTATGTCGAACAAGGTTTTATGTTTTCAAAACAATAACATTTTGGGATTCACCCAAACCCGCTCTGTTTGCTAACTATGACAGATATTCTATTTTTGAAATATTTCAGGTACTGTACTATGAGCCTAATTTCTTTCTTTAAAAAAAGCATCTTGCAGCAATGTACTTTTTGTGGCAGACAATTTGTGTACAACAGTCTGAAGTATAATATTTTAAAACCCAAGCCCCCTTCAACGGTGTTCCTGTTTCCCCAAATACAGTAAACTACGGTTATAACGAACTCAAAGGGACCACTAAGTTTAGTTCGTTATAACCGTAGTTCGTTATAAGCATATATACAGAATAATACAGCAGTTAGTCTGGACAAAAAAGAAAATTCGTTATATCCGTCAGTTCGTTATAAGCGTGTTCGTTATAAGCGTAGTTTACAGTACGACACTTTCATGAACAGGGACAGGACAGGGAAGCTAACAGTTATTGAATACAAGTCAAATTATTCCAGCGGAAATGTTTTACAATCAGTACATTGACATTGTAAAATTCAAGGTTGTCTTTAGCTTGTGCTGTTTCCTTGGTATGTCTCTTAGTAATGGACATCGCGTGTTATGTTGGGTCCACGGTAGCGTTAAGACCTTAATAGCATCTACATTAAGGAGGCCGGGTCAGTTGGTAGTACCAGAAAGCTGGCTTCAGGCCACTAACGACGTTTTCATTGTTTGCTGCTCAGATTTTATTATCATGATATATCAATACACGATAACACTCAATGTAGAGAGTCAATGCCATGATTTTACACAATGCATTCCTCACAACGACTAGATCTGACAAGGGGGTGGGCGGGGCACGGGTGGACCACTCGTCTATCGCAAATTGCTGTTGAGAGTTGGCCCCTTATTCTGTTTCCAGGTTTGTCAACGCCATATACCCGTGTTCGTGGGGTTCATTGCAGTATAATGCGGGTAAGTCTTTGATATCATCACTTGGGATTTACAGACCTCGTTATACAGCTTGAATATTGCTATAATTAACAAACAAACAAACAAAACATGAGTAATAGCCGAAAAAAGCTCTAAATTGTGATCCAGGTAATTCTACAAGCAGTGCCATAGAAAATAATTTGCAATTGAAGGATCACAAAATTACTTTTTTCTTTGTTCCTCATGCTTACTCTATAAATATTTTGTTCATTATGTTGTTGTCACGTTGGTTATTTGCTTTCTTACCTTCGTATACGTATGTATAAGAATGGGAGGAATTTAAATGATGTCGATACAAACATGAGCAGAAAGAATACTGCAGGCACGTGCATGTCACGATCACATGGCTTCAGAACCAAACAATAGTATTAATAAAAATTAAGTAGCGCAGTACTTCACAGAGAAGCATGCTCAACGTGTAGGCCATAGTATTACTCCAGTTAACGGATTAATGTTCATCTGCAGTGCGTGCTCAGCTTCTCTGGGTGTTTGATAAAGCAGAATAAAAAATGTCCATACTTTATCAGTCGAAAACTATTATCATTCGATTTCATGTTAACCCTAGCAACTTTTCCTTTTCAGGAAGACAGTAGCATAATGTACGCCATTCCGTACGGTGTGAAGAATATCTACATAATCTTGACACCTAACAATATTAAATGCCAACGCCAGAGATTAACCAGTCTCGATTATCAGCCGAAACAGAATCACTTGGACGTAATAGGTAAAATATCGGTGAAAATTAAATGGACGGATCACTGAAAATCAGTAATGACACCAGGTGTTCACGAAACGGGTAAACCTGTTCTGTTCCATTGGTAACAACTGCCACTCACTGAATTTGCATACAAAACTAGGTGTTTGTTGTAACGTCTTTCGTTCAGACTCGTTCAAACCTATCCGGTCAGGAATTTTGCTTTTTCAGAAAAGTCTCCCATTATTCTAATTGATGTCAGTGAATATATCACAGGCAACATATACCAATGCAACGGAATGCAAGAAAAACGTTATCAACAGCGGGAAATATTTGTTTTAAATGAACCGAAGCCATCAAAATCGTAGATTTTTTGGAATAAACAATGTCTCGACATTGCAAAGTTTGGAATAAGCAGTCACCTTACATTGGAATGGTTGAAATATGCTGTCACTCAATTTGGAATGTTTCAGATAAGCAGTAATTCAATTTGGAATGTTTGGAATAAACATCAATTCAATCTGAAATATTTGGAATAAACAGTAACTACACATGGGTATGTTTGGAATAATGTTCTTGAATTTAGAATGTTTGAAA